GGTCAGTGGAATGGGATTCTCATTAACTTTTCCAAAGCAATCATTTAAGGTAATATCTTCCTTCTGCTCCTTACTAAAGTAGGAACTATTAAGATTTCTCATTGGCACTAAATCAGCTGTCTCTTTCATTTCAGGATTTTCACTTAAAGTGGGTCTTTCAACTAGAGTTTCAGTGCTTCACTCGGAGGTTTCAATCTGCTTCCCCTGAGAACAGGTTACTATTAAAACACTCAGCACATGCTTAGCTAGATCTAAACCAAACAAACAAGGAGCTTGGATTTGATCTGACACTGCTACTTTCCATATTCCAGACCACCCCTGATAATTCACTAATATTTTGGCCATAAGTAATTCCACCAAATCAGAACTAATGCCTTTGAGGGTGATAACCTCATGTTCTAACACTTTTTCTTTAAGAATGAAATCTGAGTGACAAATCTGGGAACATGTATCTTTCAAACTTAAATACTTTATGATGTCAATAAAAATAGTTTCCCCAGAGTTATCCAGTAAATCTTGATTGCACTGGATAAAAAATCATTGTAACACTCAGGCTTCAGGAATTTCTGGGCTCTCTGCCAAGTTAATTAATTTCCTTAGCAACAATGCTGCTCCTCGTAGAGGCCTCAACTGCCGATTATTGCAACCATATTATGCTGCAGGAAAAACACCTTTTTAGGGTAATTTAAATTTTTATTCTTTTGTGTTTCACTATGGGCAAAAAAAGTCCCTCTTCTCCACAGGAAAAACATTTCTTATTGGCCCTATGCTCTGGGAATTTATTAGTTTTTCCTTTTTTTGAGTCTGTCTGAAGTAATTTCCACTGGATTGGGATGTTCTTCTACTGTTGTCCCATTATTTTCTGTCAATTTTTACCTCAGAGAATTTAGGATCTCTGATCTCACCAATAGAATCAGCATATTCAGATGCCTGCAGCACATTTTTAGGATCCTTGTCCTTGATCAGATAACACAATTCCCCTTACAAAATTGAATAAAATTGTTCCGATCCAAAAACTTTTTTCATTTGGACTAAGGAGGTGACATGTTCCTGTTCCAACCATTTATTGAGATAGTGTGTCAAACATGTCCCATGTTGGGTAAAAGGTTCCTCAGGTTTCTTTGAAATTGATTTACCATATTTTTTGCTCCATAAGATGCACCTCTGTTTTCTTCTCCTAAAAATTTGGTGAGCCTTATGGAGAGGTCTGTCTTATGGAACACACCCTAGGACCCTTTGCAGGCTCACCCTGCCCCCCCCAGGGGCCAGAGGGGGCGAAATCGCCACCTTCAGGGACTCTTCTAAAGCTTCCCAAGCCTCCAAAGAGTTCTAGGGTCTGTTCCAGGACCCTTGCGAGGCTCCCCCCACCCCACCCCCACGGGGCCAGTGGGGCCAAAATTGCCAGCTTCCAGGACCTTTTCTGAGGCTTGAAAGGCTCAGAAAAGGTCCTGGAAGGTCGCAATTTTGCCCCCGCTGGCCCCGTGAGGGTGGGGGGAGCCTCACAAGGATCCTGGAAGGCTCACTCAGAACCTTGCGAGACTCCTCCCACGGGGCCAGTGGGGGCAAAATCACCAGCTCCGCTCCATAAGATGCACAGACTTTCCCCCTTTTGGGGGGGGGAAGTGTGTCTTATAGAGCGAAAAATACGGTAAGTTTCATTCTGAGGTGCTCTGAATTAATCCCAAATTGGGAATACACCATCTTTCTATAAACCTCAAAATCTCTAGCTTGCTCCTGAGAGATATGTGAATAAAGCTGAGATAAAGCTCCACTTATTTGTGATCTTAAAATTATCATCCTGTTATCATCTTTAACCTCGAAGCCCCAATAAGCTCTCTCAAATGAAATCAGGAAAGATTCAGGACAATCCCCCCTCCGATATTGGGGAAATTTATTTAGGTCAATTTTTGAGAGATTTCCCACACTGGGAGCTATTATAATATTATTTTGAGCAGGTAATTCCAATTTCTTGATCTCAAATTGGAATTGCATTTCTCTTTCTTTTTGCTCACATTCCCTTCTCCTGTTTTCTCTTTCCAATTCTAATTTTTCTTTTTTCCAATTCCAGCTCCAATTCCCCTTTCCTTTTCTTTTTTTAAATTTCTAGTTCCCTTTCTCTCTTTAATTTTTTTCCAATTCTAATTGGTTTTTCATAGCTAGCTCCTTCTCCTTCAGTTTAAATTCTTGTTCTAGTTTCCATTTTTTCAAAATCTTTGGAGCTTTGAATATTTTCTCCCTCTGAGACAATCAGTTTCTTCATCCCTTTGAATTTGAGGAATTTGAGGAATTCCCATTTCCCTTAGCACTCTGGAGCTCAACTTGTGCCTCCATAACTGACTTTTTACTTCTTTTGGATGGTATAAACAATACAATTTCTTATTAACCTGGACTGGTTCTTTTCCCTCACAAAAGCCAAAAGTACAAGTCTTTTTTCTCTCTTTCAGTGGCTTTCCTTGTAACCAGGTTGCGGTTTTCCAAGCAACTTGCCTCAGCTACTCCCAAGCTCACACCCCTTGCCACAATATTTCCCTGTCTGGGCGATTCTTGTCTCCAGACACAAGAACAACTTTTGCTTAGCTTTTATTATCACCTCAGATCTATTCTGACCTAGGCTTCCATTCCATCCGCCACTGCTTTTCACTTTCAGAGCTCCAGATTTTGAGCTAGCCACTAGGTCTTGTAAATCGTGAGCTAAAAATGGTTTCTCTTCAGTACGTATTTTTTCCTGTAATGTATCCTTAGTAATGTAAGTGATGTAAGAGGTTAGTATTTGTATTTCAGAGCTCCGGATTTTGAGCTAGCCACTATGTCTTGTAAATCGTGAGGTAAAAATGGTTTCTCTTCAGTAGGTATTTTTTCCTGCAATGTATCCTTAATAATGTAAGTAATGTAAGAGGTTAGTATTTGTATCGTTCCATAAACAATCAGTGGGATTGTTAAAATAATGCTATGAGTTGCTTCAAAATGAAGCAAGGACATACAAAGAGCAGCTTGCATGAGGATCCCACAGACACAAATGGAAGCATCTCAGGAGCAGAAGTACTCCCACACCCCAGAAATATTTTTCACTTTTGTTTTTCATTTTCATTTTTTTCTTTTCTTTTCTCCTCAGAAAGACCTCTTATACCTTCTTGGGCACATGGAAAGCATTTGTTTGCAACTTTTGCCCTTCCCCCAACTTTGTAAGTTAGTTTTTAAGACTCTCCTATACAGGGTGAGACGGGGCTTTTCAGAAAAAGGAAACTTTTGTTAAGAAAAATTTGGTACTGTTGAAATTGGACAAATGAACAGATGTGACTTTTCAAGATCCAGACATGTGGTTGGGTGTGGTCTTCTGGAGGTTGTCCCTTCTGCTTCAAGGCAATTTTGCTTTTTTTAAAAAGTGGGAAATAAAACATGGCTGGTGACTCACGTGTAAAAAGGACAGAGGGATGTGCGCACTGCGCTATTACTCCTTGATCCTTTCCAACAGAAATAGTGCCCAACCAGTTTTTTCTCTCTCTCGAGCGTTCTGCGTTCACAGAGGTGAGCTCCGGCCCTGCAACCTGATGGGAGAAGATAATAGCTGCTTTTGTTGCCTGGGACCAGAGAATTCAACAAACCAAAAGCTTAACCAAATGGTCTGCTCGACTCACTGTATTCAAAAAAGGATACATTGCATGCATAAGGCTCCAGATTTAATCATTGGCAGGATTTTTGTTAAAAGAACCAGGTAAGAGCTCTTGGGACGTGGTGGCGCTGTGGGCTAAACCGCAGAAGCCTGTGCTGCAGGGTCAGAAGACCAAGCAGTCGTAAGATCGAATCCAAGCGACGGAGTGAGCGCCCGTCACTTGTCCCAGCTCCCGCCAACCTAGCGGTTCGAAACATGCCAATGCGAGGAGATTAATAGGGACCACCTCAGTGGGAAGGTAACAGCGTTCCGTGTCTCAGTCGCACTGGCCATGTGACCACGGAAGATTGTCTTCGGACAAAACGCTGGCTCTATGGCTTGGAAACGGGGATGAGCACCACCCCCTAGAATCGAACACGACTCGACAAAAATTGTCAAGGGGAACCTTTACCTTTACCTTTACCTTTAAGAGCTCATAGGAGGGCTGCTCAGTAAGGCAGATGACATAATAGGAAAAGTGATCTAAAGGGACTTATGTATTCTATGACTGTCTCTCTTGTCCCTTTACAAAACAATCCCCTTATTTTGCTGCCTTATGAACAAAGCAAAGACAACTGGATCACATCACTCAGGTCATCCCAGACCATGGCCATTGGCTAAGGTTGATGAGAGCTACAGTCCAACATAGCTGTAGCAGTCAGACCAGTAGCATGGCAGCATGAAGGTGCAGCACCAAAGATAGCTCCAAGTGAACACCAGACCTCCAACAAGGTCTGGTGCTCAACTGAACCCTTTATGTCTCTGGCTCAAAACTATTACTTCTAAGGCTCCAAAAAGATGAAGGTTCTAGTAAGACAAATCTTTGGGTTGACTTTCTTCTTCTCTCCAGGAGCACAATGCTGGCATCGGTGCAGCAGCTCCAGGAATCATGGAGCTCTTGGAGGAGATTGCTAGCCTAGGTTGATTCAGAGGTTGATTCACGTCTGAATCAAGGCCTGACTCAGAGGTGCCAGGCCTTGGAGATCTAGGAGTCTCAAGTTCTCTTGTGGTGCTTGGGCTTGTCTTTAGCAAAGAAGGCTCCCCCTTAATATGAAGTCAGACACAGCATTGCTTGTTGTGGCCCATAATTAAGATCTTGCTAAGTGGAACAACGTTACTGGAACAATAATTGCATGAGCTGCTGCATACTCTGTTGCTGCCTACAAGCTTCAAGAGAACAACAATCATACATGCAAAAAATAATCAGTAGGCTAAATAAATGAATGAATGAATGAATGAATGAATGAATGAATGAATGAATGAATGAATGAATAAATAAATAAATAAATAAATAAATAAATAAATAAATAGGCTCTGTAACAATGGGTGTCTTAATTAACAAGGCTTTTAAATGTCACTTTCAGGAACATCTGCTGCTTCCTCCTACCATGGAGAGAGCATGAGGATTCACCAGATCAGAAATGCAGGCATCAAAGAGAAAAGGAGAATGATGCATCAGAGCCATGTGTGGAAAAATGCCAACGTGGCAGCTCGTAGTCAAAAGAAGGGAGCAAATCTTCGTTTTATTAGCAGGCATTGATCAGGCTTTCATTACCTGGAAATGCAGCGCTGCAGATTGCCTTGCCAGTGAGGGTGGTGAAGAGGCCGTTGGAGGCATCGCTGGCATCTTCTGCAAAGAGCAGGTGCTGTTGTGTTGGCTCACTGGCCAGTGCATGCAATTCTTCCCATCTGCCCAGAAAATAAATTCATTGAAGCAAATAAAGCATTATGGCATTGGAACAATTCAATCATAACAGGTACCAGAAACAAAGAACTGTAAAGAGATGTGAGCTGTTTGAAACGTCATGTTGTTGTTGCTCTCATAAATTAGGCAAATTACAATTGCATTTTTTACATTCCTGAAAAATGTCCACCTTTGTTTAATAAAGCACCTGTTCTGAGATACACTGATACATGGAAAGACTTTTCTGTAAATATCCTCACACATGATCTGCCTCTTATCTTCCACAGTAAAGGTAATCTAACAAGTAACTGAGTCAGTCTGTTGTAGTAAAAGAGAAACCAGAAGTTTTGCAGTACCCTTAAAACTAATCAGTTGTGTGTGTGTGTGTGTGTGTGTTTTTTTTTCATAAGCTTTCTTCTATCCCGCCTATCTGGTCATACTAATCAGTTGTGTGTGTGTGTTTTTTTTTCATAAGCTTTCTTATGTCCAAGTACACTACTGTAGATGAATGGAGCAGCTGTGTCTCTTGGGGGAATTTAAAATTGCTGGGAAAGAAGTGTCAGGGAGGAAAACACACAGGATCAGCATGCCCTCTTATTGTCCTCCCCTAATGCATCCTCGCTGGCAACAGTTTTCATTTGCCACCAGTGACACAGCCACTCCATTCATCTGACTAAGTGAGCTTGGAGACACAAAAGCTTATGAAAAATGAAAACTAGTTAGTCTCAAAGTAGCTACAAGAAATCTAGTTTCACCTTATGCTCAGTTTTTTATCACAGTAATAGGGATTGCCAAATGGAAGGCCCTCTGGACTTGTGGGTCTGAGGAAGGTATACTTTTCTCCCGCACATGGGTGCCCTCCACACTTCCTGCTGAGTGCTTTTTGCACACTCCCTGCAAGGGCAGACTTTGTCCAGCAACAGCAATTTCTTCTTGGCTCCCAACTCCGTCTTGGCCATCCACTCAAATCTCACATCTGCTGCAACTCTTTCGTTCAGCTCTTAGTCATCCATTCTCAATAATGAGGGGACACACCATGTCTCTCTCTCCTCACTCCAGAGGATCATGTACCTGGGAAAGCTGACTCCAATTGCAAACACCACAACCCCCCTCTCTTTTAGCTCTTTGGCCGGGGTCACCACATTGCCCTGAGATCTCCCGTCAGTTAGGATGATGAGGATTTGGGGTACCAATGAATTCCTGCCTCCATGGAACCCTTTCAGAAGAATGTATTTCAGAGCACGTCCTGTGTCTGTTCTTCCACCTCTGTGGGAAACAAGAGAAGAAATGGAAAGGAGAACACTTCTGATTAGTTTTAAGCAATTATTCTGTCATGGCCAGTGCCAAACTATACATTGCTGGGCGTGAAAAGAAGTGATTTAGAATTTTAGCGTTTTAACCACTGCGCCACGAGGGCATGAAAAGAAGTGATTTAGAATTTCACTGTCATAAGGATCATTTTTCTTTCACATCCTTCATCAAATAAGTAAAATAATCATGAGTAGCTGCCCTCAAGCAGGTGCCTTTCCAATGTGTGGGACTGTTATCCGTAACCATTCCAGTCTGCATGGCCACTGAACATGCTGGTTGGAGATTAGCGGAGTTGTGGTCCAACATATCTGGAAGGCATCAATTCATCAAGATAAATGAAATTAAAATATACTAAAATCTCAAAAAGAAAAGCCTGATTTTTGTAGTTCAAATACAACCCCGTTCACAAACAAATTCATGCACACATGCATGTGCTAAATAGGATAAATTCTACATCATGCCATGCTCTTAATTGGTCCTATAGGTCTGATAGTGAAATGAAGAGTAAAAATGACAGGGGGGAAATCCAGGAACATATATGTATTTGTATTTCTGTTGTTTTAATGTGTTTTGAATGCTGCTTATATCTATGAATTTTTAATTGATTTCTTTAGATCTTTTCATATTGCAATAATTTATGGTTTTTAGCTTTTATGCTGCATAGTTTTTAAATTCTGTAAGCTGCCTTGCATCCTTTTTAGGAGAAATGGGAGGTCAAAATATTTTAACTAACTAAATATTTTTCTTTCATTTCTTTGTATTTTTGCTTGCTTCCTTTAACCACTAATTAGCATCATTAGACCTAGCATCTGAACCCAATTTTAGACTAAACAACAGTCTACCCATTGAAACCAATGGGACTTAACATTAGTATCAACTAACAGATCCCCTTCATTTCCATGAGATATAGTCCCTTACTGGGTAATAAAACTATACACTGTACCTTTTTAATGTAATCACATAACAAAAAATCAGAGGCCCTATCTAAAAATAAACCAGTGCTATTCTTTTTAGACTCAGCTACACGATATCTTGATAAGTAAACCTGACAGCCCTCTTTCACACAGAGAGAAAAAATAACAGAGCCATCAATTTTTTCCACTCACCACCTCCTTGATCCAAACTACCCTAAAGGTAGGTTTTCAATTCATAGGGTTCCAGACACAATTGTGTTTTAGTACCTTGAAATTCACCACTGGCAGAGGAAGGCGCAGGAACATCTTCAACCAAATGAAAGAGACAATGGAAATATCTAACCTGCCAGTCCTATATGTTTTGGTTATTTGTTTTGAACCCACTTTTCAAAAAGAGATCTGATCTCTTGGGGGTGGGATGGGATGCTCATATGTTGCATGTGCCTCCCTTAATGATAATAAGACCAAGGGATGACTCACCTTGGAAATACAGGAGAACCTCCTTATCACTGCAAGCACAATACTTTCCTGTGGAAGCAGCTTGCACATTCCGCTGAGAGTCACTGAATCCTAACATAGGCTATGTGTCATGGTTCACTGGCCCTCCCATTTGTGGGAATTGCCATTTGGCAAAGATTTCTAAGAACAAAGTGTCCGTTGCGAGTGCAATTTCTTTTCTGCCCCCACACACCCACTGCAACATCTGTGAAAAGTAAGATTATACAAACCCTAGGCCTTAATTGCAGTTTGGGGAAACTCACTTAGATTTTACTAGCTGACCATTGAAGAGGATGTGTTTTCAGATGTTGCCACTGGGAATCAAGTGTTTGGCAGACACACCATTTAGAATTTTACAACAGCATAACACAAACAGCATAAATTTTGGAGGCAAATTGTAGGCACAATTTGTTTTTCTCCATGTTGTGCAACTCAGAACACAACAGGTAATGTATAACATGATTTCTCAACTTGAGGCAACTTCTCTCCAAAAGTTATGCCACATATGCTATGCTTGCAGACAAAACTAACAGGATTTTGGTCACTGTTTACTTGACTAGTGTAACATGCTACACCATAGGTCAACAACTGTGCACCACCAGTTTGTTGTTGTTGTTGTTTTCAATTACAGCTCTCATTAACTTTCAGAATTGATTATGCTACCTAGAGATGATGGAAATTGTAGGTCAGAAACATCTCGAAGGCCATAGTTGATTACTATTGTGTTACACCCTACCAGTGGATCAGCAGTCTATTTCCCTATTCCATTTTGATTCTCAATAAGAGTAACAGAAGAAGAAAGCATGCCAACACTACACAGTTATAGCAGTCAGATGCCATTTAAACTGTCATGGTTTCATCCTTCAGAATTCTAGAATTTGTATTTTGCTGAGATATTTGCTTAGAATTCTTTTCTAAACTGCTCAGTAGACATCCTAGAACTACAGCAGGGAATTCTAAGTACCTTACGAAAGTAAAAATCTGAGTATTCTATAGGATGGCCCCATGGCAATTAAAACAGTACCAAAGCCCTGTAATTGTGAAGGTAGGGAGCTATAGCTTGCCAAACAAGACGCAGAGGAGATAGTAGGGAAGCACAACAGGGAAACACAAGCTTAAGTGGCGTGGCAAAAAAAAATGGCTACCTGAAAGGGGAAAGGGCTAGATTTCAAGTGTATCAGGAGAAAAATATGTGAATAAAGAGCAGATATATTTATTCATTTCAGAGAAAGAAACAAAAGCATGACTCTTCTAATGCCCTGCAAGTTCATCATGGGCACAGATTTCCCTAGTTCACTAGGCTTCTGGACATTAAGGAAAAATGGATCACCTCAGACTAGGTGGAAACAAAGACCACAATGTGCACCATAGTATTTTGTCCTACGGAAACAAAGGATGTGAGTAGACAGGGACTGTCCTGCTGCTGTGTCTGCTCTGGAGATGGGCTGGCTTGCTCCATGTGTAAGTGCCACATGACGTTAAGTGCTAGTCCAAACCAGCCCATCCCCACTGCATTCCTACTTGCACCTTTTTGGCTCCCTGTTAAGGGCTACTCTTTTTAAAGTGTGGGCAGAATCACTCAATTTTGATTCAATTCCAGCATGTGCAGTCTCTGGAGTCAAACCAAAGCAAATGGCTTGCTTGCAGTTTCCCAATACTGTAGAGAGTTTAAGCCACTTAACAATATTTGAAAATTGAAAATGTCCTCACTCCTCTGTGGAAGGTGAAAAGCAAGAAGCTAAGGTGGGTTTTTTTTTAAGACTAGTTATGGCAGCACTGAAGCACTCTATCTTTCCGGAGGGGGAATAAAAATTGAAAGCTTCCACCTGGAAGGAGAACACAAAAGGGGCAATGAGGATATATATGTGTGTGTGTGTAACCTTAAGCAACCCTATTTAGTCTGAACCATCCCACTTCAATTTAGTCCTACCTAGACAAGCCCAAAGACTGATATAGGAAATACTTAGGAGTCTGATGGCACAGTCATATGTCATTCTAAACATCTGGACCCTCATGGTAAGGAATGCAGCTGCAAAAAACTGAATATGGAACGAAAAATGTTGAAGTAAATCTTCCTCTTAAAAACATGACCTAGCTGGTTTTAGTATAGCTTTGGGTATGAGTCTTCTAATAGGCACAGCAATAAGCTCAGCCTATAAACTTGCCTGCTCAGAGGATAAGGTAAATAATCTTAGATTCTTAGAATTCAGTTTCTCTATTTTATTCTGATTGCACAATTTAAAAAAAGGAAAGCCACCACAATTCTGCAACAAATCATATTCTAACTCAGGCTTAATGGAATGATAAAGTTGTATTTTTCTAGCGTTTCCCATTAAGAATTCGGGTTACACATTATTATTATTCCCACTTTTCCCTATCCATTTGTAGACCAGATAAGGGAGTAGCCCTAGCACAGCCATCCTTTTGTGTTATATTTAAGTACAAAACAAAGGAAATCGCCTATTTCCAGTCACCATGCCAGGCTGTTTTTGCAATAAAGCCACTGTTCTCTCAGCTTTCCAAGATGGCTCTGGGAGATCCTAAGAGACACTATCTCCAGCTATTGTCTCTTAGCAGTGCTTTTATTTCACTTCAAAAGGATTAGGACAAAAGCAGAATTGCTAAGTAAAATCCCTTTTGTAGTTAGCACTATATTATTTCCCCACAGTTAGAAGCTCTTGATTCTGGGCCACGTTTTTTTTTATTTTTTAAAAAATGAACCTCATTGTAATTTCTTTATTTCTTGGTGTATTCAGTATTTGATACAACACACATGCTTCATGGCGCCCAGTTCTTTAATCTATGTACTTGTCTTTGTATCAGTCTGTCATTCTCGATGCTCTAAACTTCTGCCAGAGCTGGCTTTGATCTTCTTAAAGTTCCTTCTTTATTCCTTTACTCCAGTATTCTCTCTCTAGAGGCACATGTCAGGAACACATCAACAGTGTTGTGGTAGCTGTCATATCTTCCCCCAGCCAGCTGCATTTTGTTCTTGGTCTTTCTTTTCACCTCCCAGTGGCTCATAATACTCTATTTCTGCTATTATCTTATATCTCATATTCGGTCCAAATCAGCTCTGCTGATAGAACTGCTTCCTGCTTATACATAAATGGCAAGGTGGGTGGACACTAGATGTGGATCTACCGGCAGACTTTCAGGGTGATCTGGAAAACGTGGGCAAAGACTTCTGACTCCTGGTTGCTCAGCAATAGAGCAACAAATGGCTCTTTCTTTCCTTTTTGCACTGCAGAGATAAAGGTATCTGGGTGATCAGGAGCAGATTCTTTGTACAAGAAGACTGAATGCTGCATTCATCACTCATACTTCCAGGCTTAGAATTCTTTAATTTTAAAGATATGTTTTTTGTACCAGGCAAAGTTCAGTTGCTGGATTTTGGGGATTTAATGGAACACAATTAGCTTGAAATCTGTCCACCACTGTATGCATAGGTTATGAGCTAGAAAAAGAGTCAGTTAGATATAAATGCATTGTTTTGAATCCAAATTACACAATAGGATATTTTAACAGAACATTACAAATAATGTCCTGAGGGTATGAGCTGTCGAACAGTGAACTAGACTATCTTGGAAGGTCATAGGTTCTTCTTAACTGATGGATTTAAAGTAGATTCTGGAGGGCTACCTGGCAGGGGTTGAAGGAAATGACTTTTGAGATCCCTTCCAATGGTATGATTGTATGGTCTGAGGCACCAAAAAACCCATGAAACTGTCAGAGTGTAAATATTCCTTGAGAGTGATTTCTTATGACTTCCTTGCCAAAGGAAGAGATGAACATCAAGCTGCTAGGGTGGAAGGATCTACACATATATCAACCTTACCTGAATACAATCTTCTTGAGTTTGTCTTTTATCTTCTGTTTGGTGAAATATGCATCCAGGGAGAATTCTGAACGAGGAGTGTTGCTGAATTGTATTGCTCCCACTCTGACCTGCAAGATGAGAAAAAGATCTATAAAGAAGACATAATTTTATGCTGTTGTTACCAGTGCAACAAACTCTAAAGATACTTAACAGAGCAAACTGGGAAACTGCAGGAGCATGCTAAATGCAGGCACATCATAGAATCCTTTGGCTGAGAACAATCTTAAACATCCCTGAGTCCTCATTAATCTCTATAAACCTTACAGATACTTTTATCTCCACATTTTCTCATAGAGACATGCAGGATCATTTTGCTATCATACCCATTGTACAGAGTGCACCTGTGTGCTTACCTTTTTTGTACCAATGTCCAAGGCATCACAAAGTTTGATTGCTAAATGTTTTGACCTTTCAAAGCTTCCTTTGCCAATGCTATAAGATCCATCAAACAGAAACAAGACATCGATGGGGGCAGAGCAATTCATTACTGGAAGAAGACAGAGGCATTTTATTTTTTAAAAAATAGACACAAAGCAATAATACTTAGCTGTCTTGTTTGTGGAGGACAAGGGGGTCAAAAGAGAGGATGAAGACACACAGGCACCATAAATCACTAAAGGCTAACAATAGACATTGTTTGGAGCAGTGCTTCCCAACCTGAGCAGCCTAGGTATTCTTCAACAGCAAATCCTAGAAGCCCTCCCCATTATCTGTGCTCTCTGACACTCTCTCCCTAGATGTTGAGCTGGATAAATGCATTGGAAAAGCAGCCACCATGTTCTCTAGAGCCACAAAGAGAGTATGGTTTAATAAGAAGCTGACGGCATATACCAAGATCCAGGTCTATAGAGCCTGTGTCCTGAGCACGCTCTTGTATTGCAGTGAGTCCTGGACCCTTTGTGCACGGCAGGAGAGGAAGCTGAACACGTTCCATATGCATTGTCTCCAACACATTCTTGGTATCACCTGGCAGGACAAAGTTCCAAATAGAGTAGTCCTAGAACAAGCTGGAATTTTTAGCATGTATACATTACTGAAACAGTGACATCTACATTGGCTTGGCCATGTTGTGAAAATGGCTGATGGTCAGATTCCAAAAGATCTCCTATATGGAGAATTAGTGCAGGGAAATCTCCCCAGAGGAAGACCACAGCTGCGATACAAGGATATCTCCAAGCAGGATCTGAAGGCCTTAAGAATGGACCTCAACAGATGAGAAACCTTAACAACTGACCATTCAGCCTGGAGGCAGGTGGTGCAGCATTGCCTCTCCCAATTTGAAGAGACACTTGTCCAGCAGGCCGAGTCAAAGAGGCAGTCCCGAAAGCAGAAAAATCAGGGAGCTGGACAGGGGACAGATTGTATCTGTCTTTAGTGTGGAAGGGATTGTCACTCTCGAATTGGCCTCCTCGGCCACACTAGATGCTGTTCCAAGTCCTCCATACAGAGCACATTACCATAGTCTCTCGAGACTGAAGGATGCCTAATCTAATGAGTTTTTTTGGTGCTGCTGTTCAAAAACACCCAGGTTACCCAAAGTTGAGAACCACTGCTCTGGAACAAGGGTTATTTGGAGCAGGCTCATGTGGGCAGTTGAGCAATCAATACTGTAGAGGTTGGAAACAATAAATTTCCTGGTGGTAACTCCTAAAATCCCCAAGATTTTAGCAGTTGTTACTATGTGAAAGAGTTTGCAAAAATTTCTTTTCAACGACCAGTCCCAGAATCTTTATGAGGTTATAGGAGCTGTAGTCCAAAAAGTAAATTTTCAAAGCTGCATTGCCCTGCAACAAAGGAAATCACACCCCTGCCATCATAAACATATGCAATATTCTGAAGATCTGAACAATGTATCTTGCAGAATTTTGCTGATGTCAAAACTCAAGGTTATTTCAGGCTCCTGCCGGAAGGGACTTGGAATTCGGTGACCCTTACTGTAAATACGATTCCACTAACATATCACATCAGACATTTGTGCATGGACTGATACGAATGCCACACAGCAGCCTTCAACAATAGCACCAGGTTTTTTCCTAAGGCCCTGTCCTGGAGTTACCAGAGCACGCACCAGCATGTCTGCAAAATAATTACTAGCTGTTACGAGTGTTTGTGTGCCAAGATGCAAGCTTCGTGATCTCAAAAGAGTTAGATTAATTTACAGTTATTTTTCTTTACAGGGGTGGGCAACACATGTATTTGGAAATTAGGAGACAACAACTGCAGCCATGGGAAAGATTCTGCATCCCTGATGTTGTTTTCAGGTTAGTTTTTAAGACTACGGAAATAATTAAGGAATCAGCTGAATCTCCCGCCCCCCCCCCTTTAATTGACAGCTATAGGTTTTTAATTTTTGGTTTAGGTGTTGTTAGCCACTTCAAATGCAACTCAGGTTAGTGAAAAAGCAGGATATCAATAGTTCTAAATAAAATAAGAAAACATTATTATCATTTTTTTAAAGGGATGGATGGGAGGATACAAGCCTGCACTCATAGATCTCACAGGCATAGGCTTTTTGTTTAAGCTGGAATGCCAGCCACAGAAACTTTCTAAATAAAATAAGAAAACATTATTATCATTTTTTTAAAGGGATGGATGGGAGGATACAAGCCTGCACTCATAGATCTCACAGGCTTTTTGTTTCAGCTGGAATGCCAGCCACAGAAACTGAGGTCTTCTAATTTATGTAGAGGTCCCAGCAGAGGGGTCCACATTCAATGCATGTGTGCAGGGAGATGGGGTGACAGCCAATGTGATGGAAGTAAAATTAACCTTTAATTTCCCAAAGCAGCCCTCCCAAATGTTTCAGGCTACATCTCCCATCATTCCCAGGCAATATGATCAAAGAATAATGGAAATTATGAACACATCTGCAAGGCCCTCCAGGTTGAGGAAAGTTAACATAATGCACAGCATGGTTTAATTTAACTTCTATAACACGTACATTATTCTGTACGTTGTTTTATCAGTGGCTTTTCACCTTCTCAAATCCCATGCTCCAGATCTTTCTTTCTTTCTTTATCTTAGTAGAACTTGCATTTTTAAAAACCAACTTAAGACCTGGTTATTCAGACAGGCCTTCCCTCCAGGCACTACTTAATATATTTTTCTTTCCATCTTGAACTATTGCTTTCATTGTATATTGCTGTAAACTGTTATTATATATTAACTGTTTTTATCTTGTCTGTTGTGAGCTGCTCAGAGCAGACTATGTCTAGATGGGTGGTATATAAGTGCAATAGATAGAGAGATAGGTAGACAGACAGACAGACAGACAGACAGACAGACAGACAGACAGACAGACAGACAGATAGATAGATAGATAGATAGATAGATAGATAGATAGATAGATAGATAGATAGATAGATAGATAGATAGATAGATAGATAGATAGATAGATAGATAGATAGATAGATAGATAACATGATTTGTTGGGCACTTTCTGACATATATTGAGATGTGACATGAGGATCAGAGTTAACATTCCCAAGGAGAATTCCAATGTTGTGTTTCCTCCACCACCACCATGAAGAAAAATTATTTCTCCTGAATGGGACCAAGCCATTGAGTTCACTTCATTGCACCAAGGTACTTTTTGTTCTCCTCCCAATATGTCACACAGATTTGAACAAAAAAGTACACAGATGGCAAAATGCAGTTCATTTGTTAGGGCGTGTTTTGATATAGCCATTTGTTTATACCCCTCTTCCGAAGTTGTGTATAGCAAGTGGCTGAAACTTGAGGTTGTTTACAAATGGCCCAGAATTTCTGCATTTTGTGCAGATCCAGGGAACTCACATCTCCACAACTGGTGGATGAAGGCCAAATAATTGTTACTCATTCTCATTCCTTTGGAGGGCTAGGTCAGATAATGCAAAAATCTCAGTGCTTTCTACTTTCAGCTAGTTTTCACATGCAACCTTTCAGTCATCGAAGTCACTCTTGAGGATGAAACCACAACTTGGCAAGGGCACACAATTACAGAACTCCAAAATAACATAAATCAATGTACTGCAACAAATTTGGTATACTTTGGTTCCCCTCATAAGGATTACCTCAGGAAAAGAGGATGGAGGGGTGGAGGCAGATGTATAAATCTGAGTGGAGTTGCTATATTCAAACCTTTGTATAGTGCAAGGAAGAACACCTACATTGTCCAGCAGCTGAAATTTTCTCTGTGGTTTCGAGGCTGATGTGTAGCTCTTGCATACTCCAGGACACTGATGCTGAAGGATGAAATTATTGTCAACACAGTTCAATCAGTTATTACTGAAATATTTTCAGATTACTTCTTCAAAGATTTACTTTCAAGACAACTGCCATAAAACACCATACCAATGGATGTGTTTTTGCCTCAAGCATGTGTGCTCTTTCTTTGCCAAAAAGGAATCAATTAAAGTATCAGTATCCATGCTATCTTCCAGTTTATTCAACTGTAGAGAGGCTAGAGATAAAAATGTAGTTCTATAATACAGGAGTTGCCACTTGTTGTCTTTAGATCACATGCATCTCTCGGCCTAATCCCAACAACCCTCAATGCAAACCTTGGGCAATCTACTTGAGTCGGAGAAAAGGCATAGATCTGTCTCCTTTCAGTTTTGGCTGCACTCCTCCTCACATGGTTTCAGTTCTTCCCAAAGCTGACATACAGCCCCCAACAGGTTAACCATGAGAACATTTGGCTTTTAAAAAACTGCATATTCTACTATAAAATTATGCAAGACAATGAGTGGTGATTACATAGCTCCACCATTTATAGTATCTTGCTTTAGCCTGTAACATATGTGAGTGAAATGGAATAGAAAGTGGTGGCTTAATCTAAATTGCATCATCAATACAAATCCTCACATGGTTTCTTTCATAATAGTTACAACATTTTTGTAAGTGTTTAAAGCTTTATCAGGTCATAGTGCAATGCAGTCCCTTTATAGATATTCCCGGGAAGTTACTGTTTTCAGCAGTCTCTGTATAATGTGATATAAGAAATTGAAAAGAGCATGGTAAGAAGGGTTAGAAAAGATGTTAAGAAAGACCTATGGGTTAGGAGAACTGTTATAAGAAGAAAGACATAAATATGCCTCACTGTTTAGAGATTCCGTGTTAGAATGACATTTAAAAGAAGGACAGCATTTAGAATTAGCAGGATACTAGTGTGTCTTCTAAGTACAGATCTTAGAAATCCAAGAAATCCTCAGCCACTTGCCATGATAACTGGAGGATTATCAGAGCAATAGTCCAAAAAGTAACTTTTCAAACCTGTAGTTAAACAATATAAGGCTATGTTGTGCAGGCTGAGATATATCTGGCTTAGGCCATCTGGGTTTTGTCTGCTATCCAAATTGCTGCGATACAACAGGAAACAGACATAATTGTATGCTATGTTGTAACTCAAAACAGGAAGAATTTATTTCATACCAGTCTGAACACACACAGAGTCTGGAGTGTTTATACCAGCAATACTCCTTGTTTGCTGTCTAGAATCCCACATCTGAGCTGAACATCATCAAACATCCAGGTCATGACCGGTTTAACACAATACATGCCTCTGAGAGCAACCAGATTTGTGTCTGTGTGAATGCAGCTATACTTCTTGTCCTGTAAGCAGTACCCAAGGATGGCAAGGTCTTTTGCATTAAATGCCACAGTATTGTGCTTTCTGCAGCAGAACCAAAATCCATCAGCTTTTGTTTAGAAGAATAAATAAGAGTTTACCTTGGGACAACAGGAGAATGCCAATGGAATCAAACAACAGCAAGAGATTCATAATGCTATTGCTGGAAGGAAAGGAAGGGGAATACTGTATTATGCAAAGGAAAAGAATGAAAAATATTTCACTTGAAAAAAAAATTATTATAAATATTTCACTTGAAAAAAATATTTATTATTTTATATTCGCGAAGGCTTTCATGGCCGGGATCTAATGGTTGTTCTGGTTTTTTTGGGCTCTTTGGCCGTGTTCTGAAGGTTGCTATCCTCTGAAGATGCCAGCCACAGAGACTGGCGAAATGTTAGGAAGAACAACCTTCAGAACACGGCCAAAGAGCCCAAAAAACCCAGAACAACCATTTATTATTTTGTTTACATTTGGAACAATCTAAAATACAGAGCAACTGACAGGCTTTTCTCTCAGTGGTTTGTGAAGTCTATTTCCAGCCCCTCCAAAAAAACACCCAGTAAATATGGACTCTCTCCCCACTCATAAAAGCAGCAAGAGGGAAGGGAATTGAGCACCACCACAAAACAAGATTAAATATAAAAAATTTTCCAGTGCCTTAATTTGCCTCTCCAAACTATCCTAACATTTTCCTCTGCCCTTAAACACACAAATGATTTCAAAAGGCTCTTCAAATTACTATTCAGTCTCTGCCCAAAGCATTCTATAAAGAGAGAGAAGATATCAAGCTGGAAGAAATGTTTTCATTTAAGAGAACTGGACTGATAACCTATCCTAATTATTCATGTGAGTTGTCGAATATGAATGGGAATCTGCCTGCAAAAATCATCTCTCTTCATACCACAATGGATCATGTATTTAAATATATCCTTTGTATTATGTATTTCTGTTACAGTTCTCCAATTACAGACCAGAATAGGCATGTGATTATGCTGCAGTCATTACAATATATATTATAAGTATATTGGCTGTTGAGATCTTGGCTGCCTGAAGGCAAATAGTAAGATTGCACCACAGTACATACTCTTATTATAGGTTACACACTACTTTTAAAATTTATGAGCTACTGCTGAACCTTCCTATGCTGTTGTAAATAGTAGTGGTATTTTTGAATAAACATTCATGTCACCTCTACATCCCTGGCAAGTGTACAAGTTTACTCCAGCGAAAACTTTCCATTAAAACTGTGCATGGAAGCTGTAGTCTGTTACTTTACACAGAAGACTAGAATGATTTAGCAGTGAATCTTTATTTATAATTTTGGAGTCATGGACTATGCTATATATAGTCACTTTCCTATCATCCCCACTGTGCCTCCTGATAGAAGAGCCAGTCTGTGTCGCCCTTGGCAAGTTGCAAAGTCCTAGGACACCCCCAGAAAAAGAAATAGTAAATTATTTCTAGGTACTTTTACCTGGAGAACCCATAAAGAATCATAATATATCAGCATGCACGTTTTATCATCACCATCAGTTGAAAACAGCTTCCTTAGAAATTAAACAAAGGTTTAAGATTTAAGATTCTTTAAGATTTTGAACAGATGTTGACTTATGGTCCCAGGAAGCAGTGCACTTTGTCTATGGATTGGCAGACAGATTAACTATTGTTAGAGATATAAATAGATATTGCATTATATAGATTTATATGAGGAATCAGGCAATCTGTGGTTTTGGACAATACTTGGGTCTGAAATGGGCAATTGTGGCCCTTTAGATGTTAGATGAGAAGAGGGAGATATGATCTGTCACTGTGATTGATGGGTGTCGTTAGCTGGTCTTTTGTGTGCAGTGATCACCAGTCCTTGTGGCTGGGTACAGTTCGTCGACCTTTTGCAGGCTACATTTTTCAGTTCTGGGAGCCAGGTTTTGTTGAGTTTTAGACTTTCTTCTTTTTTGTTGAAGCTCTGCTGGTGTTTGTGGATTTCAATGGCTTCCCTGTGCAGTCCAACATAATGGTTGTTAGTGTTGTCCAGTACTTCTGTGTTTTGAAATAGAATTTCATGTCCAGCTTGTTCCAGCTGGACAGATCATCTCTCCCCCTTATCACAACAATACATCCACAACAAAAAAACACACTGAGCACCATAATCACCCAATCTCCTGAAAAGGACAAAAGCTGATCCCACAGCTATAAATAGTCATCTATCCCAACTGCACCAGAGCACAGACAGAGTTCTGACTCTTGTCCTCTGAAGATGCCGGCCACAGAGACTGGCAAAACGTTAGGAAGAACCTTCAGAACATGGCCAAACAACCCGAAAAAAGAAAGGTTACTTACCTGTAACTCTGGTTCTTCGAGTGGTCCTCTGTGAATTCACACTAATGGGTTAAATATGTGCTTGTGCAGAGGCCTCGGAATATTCTAGAGCTTAAAGTAACATTTTTTGGCTCCTCCCCTCAGGACCTCATGGTCCGTCTGCCCTAACAGTTACCTCAGCCTCCAAATTCTGCTGCTGCTCTAAGGCGAGACAGCCGTGACGGAAAGAGGGGAGGATGGGCGGGACGTGTGAATTCACAGAGGACCACTCGAAGAACCAGAGTTACAGGTAAGTAACCTTTCTTTCTTCTTCGTGGCCTCTGTGAATGCACACTAATGGGCGATTAGCAAGCTTGCCTCTGATAGGAGGAGGGACGTCATGGCAAAACAAATGACATCCTCCTTGGCCCACAGATTCATGCGATAGTGAAAGATGAAGGCTGACGGTGCGGGCCAAATGGCAGCTATGCAGGTTTCTAACAAAGGGACACCCTTGAGGAAAAGCTGTAGAAGTAACCAAAGTTCTGGTAGAGTGAGCATTCACCGGGCGCAGGTGATTAGACTTGGGGGGAAAAAAACAGTCCTGTAAACATAGAACGATAACGCTCTGCGAACATCTAGCAGGTCAAGTGACCTCTCTACATCTGTAGACAGTTAGGAAAGAAAGTGGGCAGACTGATAGGCGGCCGAACATGAAACTCAGTAGAAACTTTGGGTATGAAGGAGACATCTGGGTACAGTATAACTTTGTCCAGGTAAAAAATGTAGGAAGGTAGGAGCCACATGAAGTGCTACTGGAAGTAACTGCAACTAAGAAATAACCTTGAAAGTCAACAAATATTCAGTAGTTGTGGTCAGTGGCTCAAATGATGAACGCGAGAGGCACTCAGGACACTGTGAAGAGACCACTGTGGTATAGACTGGCCCCTTGGAGGGTAAAGGTTTGCCGTACCATGGGAAAACCTCTTCATTTAGGGTAGCAAGTAGTAATTTTGGTAAATGCCAGCCAATTGCAGAAATAGAGTTGATTGGTAGAGGGCTTCCTGGAGTGTGATAATATGGAGTTTATTGAGGAGGAATTCTCCACACCATGAGGTGAAGAGTTTGTAGATCTGGATGGTATGTTTTCCCTTGATTCTGGGTCAGAAGATGAGGAATAGACAGGGGTCTCATGGAGCCTGACGACATTGTCAGCAGCGTTGTGAACCACAGACGTCTGGTCAGTAGGGGGCTATGAGGATCACAGTGGCATTGTCATGTTGTATCTTCACTATTATGTGCAGTAGGAGAGGTATTGGAGGGAACATGTACATGAAGCAGCCCTTCCAGGACACCATGAGGGCGTCTCCTAGAGAGTTTACCCCTAGTCCAGGCTGTGAAAGATAGATGGCACACTAGCTGTTCACCTCAGTTGCAAGGGCATCTATGGCAGG